CCTGCTAAAGAACCAACCTCCTTTAGAATATTTTTTTAGCTTTATTCTTTATCAGCTATACTCTTTTGGGCAAAGAATCCATCAAGCTTTTTTTGTTGTTGTTACAAATCGTGACCTTATTCACACTGCCCATTTCAAGTTGAAGCTTTCTCTTTCATCCCAGTAAGAAATCTGATAGGCTTTGCTTTATTTTGGTTTACTGTATAGTATGCCGTTATATGTTCACATTGTACAGCATTATGTGAATAAAGTACAGCTTATTTGTTTCAATGTTGATGAGCATTTGGGTATTGTCATTAATACATGAATAAGTACTAAATAGGTAGTCATTATGTATACAAACAATACCCACATACATTCATTTATACATGCACTGTATTGGAAAACTTTTTGTTAAATAGAGTGTACATACAGAGAGATGTATATATCACAATAGTAGAGCTTGATAAATTTTCACACTGAACATACTAGCACCTAGTTTCAGAAACAGAACCAGCTCCCCAGAAGATCTACCTGTGACCCCTCCCAGTTATTACCCCCCATCAAAGATAACTTTTTCTGACTTTTAATAATGTAAATGAGTTTTGCCTGTTTTGTACTTTATATAAATGGAAACATACAATATGTTGTATTCTTATATGTCTCACTTCTTTTACTTGGCATATTTGTGAGATTCATTTACGTTACTGCATTTGGAAGCAGATTGTTCTTTCTTAGGGTGGCAGAGTTTATTCTATGGTAGGAAGATACTGCCAATTATTTGTCCATTTTACTGTCAATGAACATTTGAGTCATTTCCAATTTGGGGCTATTACAAATAGTGTTGCTCTGAGCAGTTTAATACGTCTTTTGGTATTTATTAAACATTAGTATATTCCTAAGAGTGGAATTACTGGGCCACAGGATTTTCATGTGCTTAACTTCAGTAGATACTGCTAAACATTTTTCCAAAGTGGATGTGCTGTATACCTAGCATTTGACTTCTTGAAGAATCATTTTAAGGGGAGGCATAACCATTAAAAGAAGAAGTTCTGGAGTTACAAATTCAGGTCACCACTAAATGGTTATGTTACCTTGGACAAGGTGACTAACTTTAAGTCTCAATTTACTCAACTGCAAAACAGGTATAATAAAACCTTTTTTCAAAATCTGTGGGAATTAAGTAAGATATTAATTTAATGCACTGTCCTAAGTATATAGTAAATGCTTAGTTATTAATTATAAGTGACTAGAACATAGATAAAATGAAGAATTAGAAACAAATATGGACAAATATAATCCACAAGTTTTAATTTTCTGATGGAAGAAAACTATGAAACTCTGACCCCAAAGGCATTACCAGTTCTACCAATTCTGAGCATTACACTTAGATTCTGGAAAAAAAAAATTAAACATTATCCCAAAATACGTTTGCAAATTACTCTTGCCAGAGGCAAGGTTCTTGGATACAGTGTATTACCATCCATTTTTTCCCCCTACCAGACATGACTCTTTAAAGACAGGACTGCCAAGGGCTACTCTGGAATGTCACTAATATATTACCTTTTATTTGCCAATTTCACACCTTCTTCAACCCAATCCCCAAAGTTGTGGAAAAGTGACTGTAATTGCAATATTCATTCTTAGTTTTCCTGGAATCTTATCACTGTCTAAGACAGCTTTCACACCCCTAAATATCCTAAAATTGAGCCCAGATCCTTGTTTTAAATGACAGAGAACTTGTCTTCATTTTTTCGGATAAGCTTGATAGGTTGAGCTGCAGGAACAGCAACCTAGATGTTAATACAGGTACACTCTGTACAGAGGGACTGTTTCAGCTAGTCGCTCCAAGGGTAGCAGGTTCAATCATTTTAGGTAGGTAATTTTGGAAGGTGGCACTGTGTTCCTAATAAATTGATATAAATCCCATATACCAGTCACTATTCTCAAGAAATAAAGCACACAATGTACTTAAGAGGATGTCATCTTCTGAGGCTGATAGTAAACCTGAAAGGGAACTTTTGGATCATTTAATTGAACTTGCTTTGCAGATAAGAAAAGTAGTTACTTTAAAGTATTGCCTAAGGTCAAATGGCTTGCTCCGGGGGAAGGCATAAAGCTTGTCTTATTCACAGTGGATGCTGCCCTCTGCTCTTGGAGCCTTGCTTCCCACCACTCCTCCACCCCGAAACCCTGATTTCAGAAAGATTCAGGCCTGGAATTCAGAAATGAAGCTGAGAGTATGATGTGAAACAAGGGAATGACAAGTCATTAAATTGTTGTCAGGAAGCGTTGAGACCAGTGAGGTTTACCTGACAAAACGTAAGATCCAAAAGAGAGGAGGACCTTTCCAGTTTTGTACTGTACCACTGTCTTCCCAACTGTGTCCCTAACTATGGTAAGCCCAAATGGGAGGTAAATCAGTCTTGGGTATGCCAGCCTGTGAGAGAAAACATTTCCTTAACTTTGTTTTCTACCATCTCCTTCCTGTGGTCCTACTAAAACATTAAGATTTGGATTCTAAAGAGGTATTATGTACAATGCGACCTAGCACAGTGCCTGGCCCATTGTAATTAATAAATGTCCGTTTATTCTCCTTTCCTTCTCCAAGTGCGGGCTACTAGGGGGCGAAGGGCGATGGGCCAAGGCAGAAAGCGAAGAGAGTATCTAAGACGCTGGTGAGAGATGGCTGTGGCGTCTTTTTGATCCAATAGATCAATTTCAGTGCCCTGAAAAAAGCACGGCTCTTTGACCCAGAGAAGACTGGTGGCTTTTGTTGATCGAGTCTAGGCTGCAGCCGCTATTTAATACAACTTTTTATAAGCATCAGCTGCAACGCGGCGAGAGGAGGGGCAATGGTGTGAAAAACAGGGAAGTCCCCCACCCAAAATGCAGGGGAAGCCCGAGGTAGTACCGACTGCGGTTAGCGGCTCTAACGGGTCCTCCGGCTGGGGCGGGCCTGGCCACGCCAGCCCCGCCCCGTCGCCTGCAGCGCCTGACGAGGTTCAAGTTCGGCGCTCGGGCCTTTCGGCCTCCCGCTCCCGGCTCCGAAGTGGCTCGCGCGTCCCTGGTGCCCCTGCTGGAAAGCGTTAGGGACCAGGGTCAACTGAGCGCGGGGTCACTCGGCCACGCATTGTGGTACCACGTGGGGGGAAAAGTTTCCAACTCTGCCAGTCCGCCCTCCTGGTGCGTCCAGCGGAGCAGAGGCCGCACTCTGGCACTTGCTCCTTTTTCCGTCGCCTGTAGTCAAGACCCCCGCCTCCCCAGGGAAGACCTCTTGTGTCCCTTCTCGGAATTCTCCTCTTCCCTCGGTGCGCTGTTCGCCAGCAGAAATACTCAGGGGAATCTCCCGAGAAGGCGTCCCCGGCGTCCCTAGCGGGCCGGGGTAGGGGGTCAGGGGCAAGTGTCCGGAGAAGGGTCGGGGTGCGCGCGCCGAGCAACAAGGGCACAGGGGCTCGCAAGCGTTCCCGGTGCGACTGGCGGGATCTTTCCACAGCTTCCACACCCTCGCGCACCAACTCTGCGGGGCCAGGGCTTACCCCACGCGGGTGGCCCCCCCACGCCCCCGCCCAGCTTCGC